GGGGCGTCCTGGGAGGGGCAGCAATTGAGATTCAAGAATCCTAAATTCAAGATGCTGGGCTTTTGCCATAACTGCCCTGAGATTCCTCATCAACTTACAAATCACCCCCAATCTCAACCCAACACCCCTTGAATCTAAGGGTCTGAATGGGGTATCTGTTTTCACTGGCCTTCCACAGGCCCTGGGCTAAATGATTTATATATGCATTTTATGTAACTTTCCAGACTCTCTGAGGTAGGTGCTGCCCCAGGAGAGCAGGAGCCAGTGCACTGTTTATGACCGTGTGCTGGTGTCCAGAACAGGCCCCAGCATCTCATGCACGCTCAGTGGGCACTGTTTTAGCAGACAGCAAAGGCCACAAAAGCTGGTTAGATGCTGAGCCTGGGTTTGAACTTGGGGCCCCTCTCCTCCTGACACAGAATCCTGGTTCTCCCTTTAACTTGGGCACCCCAATAAATGCCACCTCACACCTATTCCTGTCCAGCCTGTGTCCCTGGGGCGATCACACACCCAGGTCTTTCCTCTCACATAGAGCACGCATGTGGCCCATCACTGGTTTTTAAAGAAATAGACTGGCAGATGTGTTGGCCTGTGACCTGTGCAGTCACCACCTTAAAATTAATAATTGAACAAGGGGCCCTGCATGCTCATTTTGCACTAGACCCTGTAAATTACACCACTGGGCCTGGAGGGGTAGTGACGTTCCCAGGAAACAGTGTAAACCTGCTAGGTAGGCAGCCAGGGTGTGCTGCCAGGGCCAAGTCTGTTTCCATTGTTCTACAACCATGCAAGTGGGCTCCTAGAGGGCAGGGGTTGTAACTGGTTCTCGTGGCTGCTCTCCGCTGGCAGGGCCACACGGAGGAGGAGGAGGAGGAGGAGGAGGAGGAGGGGAGGGTGGGGGACGTGCAGGGTCTCCCAGGCCCTCCCGACCCTCTCCCAGGCTGGCAGCCCCAGCGCTCTGGGCTCCAGGCCCAGCAGGTAGAGCCTGGAGCGGCTCAGGTTGGCCCACAGAGGGCGGGGCCCAGCGAGGGCCCTGGATTGGCCCCTGCTCCGGGCCTGGGCCAATCCGAGGCCAGCAAGTAGGGTCCCGCCCCGTCTCCAGGACACCCAGGTGCTCCTCTGTTACCAGTCAGCTCGTTGTTAAGGCGACCGGGGCGCTAAAAATAAACTTCAAAGAGCCTCCCCCTGAGGGCGCCCGTGGAGTTGTTATGACAACCGGGCCACCGGGTCCACAGAACCGCTCCCACCCACCAGCCGCTCTAGGGGGAGTAGATCCCACCTGGGCCTCAGCCCCGCAGGTGGGATGCCTGCCCCTCCCCTCCAACTGCCCCCAGTCTTGGCCTGGCCTCCCCGTCCCCATGGCCTCCCCCTGCCCCCACGAATACCTCAGAACCAACCCCCAAACCCATCAAAGGACTTTTTTTTTTTTTCCCTTTTGCAAAAGATGTAAGAAATTCAGAAAAGTTGGAGAAATGTAAAATTGCTGTAACCCAGGGCTCTGAGATACTTGGTTGTAGGTAGCCGGGTATGGTGTGTGCATCTGTATAGTTTTTAGCACCAGAATGTCTAGTAATAATTGTGAACATTGCTAATGTTAAATGCTAACTTCACAGCAGGCTCTGTGCTAAGCCATTAAGAGATCATTTTATTTACACCTCACAACCACCCTGTGAGGGGTACTATTCTGATTTTTTCCTCTATTAGAGGAGGTTTCTGAGGCTCAGAGAGGGTAAGTCACTGGCCTGAGATCACACAGCTATTAAGTGGTACGGCCAGGATTCAAGCAGGCCAGTCTGATACCTGAGTCCTGTGGTAAACCTTAAGGCAACCTGTATAGGCTGAATTGTGTCTTCCCCCAATTGAAGGGCCAATGGGGCCTCTGAAGAGGTATTTCAGTTAAAATGAGGTCACAGGGGTGGGCCCTAATCCAGTATGACTGGAGATATCCTTAGAAGAGGCGGAGATTAGGACACAGACACAGAGGGAACACCATGTGAGGAGACAGGGAAGACAGCTGTCTACAAGACAAAGAGGCCTCAGAAGAAAGCGGCCCTGCCCACAGCCTCATCTCAGACTTCTAGCCTTGAGCCGGGAGGGAATGAATGTTAAAGCCCCCCGCCTGAGTATGGTTAGTGTAACAGCAGCCCCGGGAAACTGAGACAGCCTTCCGGTGAGTACCTACTGGGTCATGAGCCAGTCTCTGAAAACACGATTCCCTAAAGGCTGGGTCATCTTCTATGATCTGTGGACGTGCCATGTGGAACTTAAAAGACTGCACGCTGCTGGCCACTCAGGTCTCCTGGGACGTCCCCACCCCTCACCGTCATGCTGTGTCTTGGCTCTCCCTGCCCAGGCCCCCTTACAGCCCCTCGAAGCTCTGTCCCCTTGTCATCCATGATGCTGCCGACTACTATCTGCCCTTGAGATGCCCCTCCTGGCCGGCCGCCCCTCCCTCACAGCTCCTTCTTCCCCCAGGTTCCTCTCCTTAAGCCTGTACAATGGACACAGTTCCAGGGTCTGTCCACATCATGGTCCCCATTTCCACACTCCCCTGGGTGAGACCTTTCCAAGGCTCCCTGACTTCTGGCCCCAACTCCCAGCCTAACCCAGCCCTCCCTGGGGACTGGGGAGAGGAGAGGGATGGACGTGGGGGCTCAGCGACCTTACCTTGCTCTCCAGCCGTCCTATTAGCTCTGCTAAACGGCTGATCTGGGCTTCCAGGCCCTCCTCCTTGGGGTCTGAGGTCACTGGGAAAGAGGAACAGAGACACTGATGTTGGGCAGGGCCAGGCCTCGGGGAGGGGAACCTCCAGCCTCCCCAGGGGCCCAACCTGCCCCCTCCCTCACAGTTCCAGCCCTACTCGGAGGCCCAGGCGCCATCTGGGCCACTGCCAGAACTCCTCCCAGGACCCCCACGCAATGCCCCCCAGCCCGGGCCACCACATGCTCTCACCAGAATGCACGCTCCTCTCTTGTTCCGTGGCCATAAGCTTGTGGCTGGGGGTGTAGGGGACAGGGGGGCTTCCATACCAGGTCTGCACCATGCCAGGGCCGGATCTGCCATGGTTCTGGCTGCAGTGGAAGTGGGAGAAACACTGTGAGAGAGGGCGCAGGGCCCTGGCCCTCTGTGGCAGCTTTGGCAAACACTGAGCACCCACGATGGGCTGACGTGCAGTTTACTCCATGGAGCCTGTCCTGTGAACTGGGCCTCACGGCCTTTGTTTCCTAGAGGAGGAAACCAGGCCCACAGGTGGGCGACTTGGCCACAACCATGCAGCCTGAGGGGCCGAGTCAGGATCTGAACTCATCCCAGGCCCTGTTCCCAGCAGGTTCAGTTCCAAGCCCCTGCCCCCACCCAATGGCTCACAGTTTCCCTCCCCACCCCTGCCTGCTACACTAGGAGCCAGTTTGGTGCCCTGTGGGGTTGGGGGGCTGGGTCTGTACTCTGTCTGAAAAGGGAGCCTTAAGACGTTGGTTGAGCCCTAGCCAGTTTGGCTCAGTAGTTAGAGCATTGGCCTGAGGACTGAAGGGTCCCGGGTTCGATTCTGGCCAAGGGCATATACCTCAGTTGCAGGCTTGATCCCCAGCCCCAGCTGGGGTGTGTGTGGGAGGCAACCAATCAACGTGTATCTCTCACATCAATGTTTCTCTCTCTCTCCCCCTTCCACTCTCTCTGAAAAACAATGGAAAAAATATCCTCAGGTGAGGATTTAAAAAAAAAAAAAAAAAGACGTGGTTGCGAGTAGGCATATGAGAGGACAGTGACACCTGTGATCCTGACCCCAGCTAGGTCCAGGTCCTAGAGAGAGGGGCCAGGTCTGATCACCTGTCCCCACCCCACCATGCACACTGATGTGCCCACACGTGCACAGCCCTGGCAGACAGGCACACACAGCTCGCCAAGTGCCTGGCACAACAGCAGAGACTCCACCAATGCTCGGTGAATGTCTGAACACCTACATGCAAAGAAATGCTGGAAAACTCAGCATAGGCACACAAACACACACTGACATGCATGTCCACATACAACACACACAAACACTCCCGTGTGCCATGTCGACACACGCGGTCCCCACGCTCTTCCACCTTTGGGCAGCGCTGCCATGTGCATTCTGGTATTTGTGAACCTGCAAGCTCACAAGCCCCCTGTGCAGAAGGCAAACCCCACTTCCCCGCAGAACCAGAAAGACTGGCAGAGTCTCTGACGTGTCAATCCTGGCAGCTCTAAAAACAAGCAGCAAATTAAATGTGGCCCTCAGACCCTGAACGGCAGCAGCGGGAGTCCCTGGGGTGGCGGGCGGGGTTTGAACCAGAGGCTTGTGCCTGGACCATGACATCCCTGGGGGCTGGGAAACAGGGTGGCCTAAGGGGACTTGCAGCCTGGGGGAACCGAAAAAGCTGAGAGTTGGGGTGGTTTGAGATGAGAGTGTGGAGCAGATGTGTCTCCGAGACGTATCATCCCCACCACCAACATCCCAAAGTAAGGTCCCAATGTGGGGGTGGGGGTGATGAAACGAGCAAAGTGCAGGAGATGGGCTACAAAAATTGCAGCTGTCTTATCTGTTCTATAGCAGGATAAAAACAGCAAGTTTTATTTTATTTATATATTTTTTAGTCCTAGGCTCGAAATTTTTCCATTGATTTTTAGAGAGCGTGGGAGGGAAGGAGGGAAGGGCAGAGAGACATGGATGTGAGAGAGACACATTGATTGGTTGCCTCCCACATGTGCCTGCAACTGCGGTACATGCCCTTGACTGTGCGTCGAATCTGCGACCCTTTGGTCCCTGGGCTGATGCTCTAACCACTCAGCCAAACCGGCCAGGGCAAAACCAGCCAAATTTTTAATCAGGATAGTGACAAAAAAGGAAGGAAATCTCGGTGTCAGCTTCCAGAACTATGGCTAACTTTGGGGACCCTCAGAATCACAAGACCAATCACCAATGCACAGTTCTGGGCTCAGCTCCCAGGGATCCCAATCCCGTGGGCATGGCTGGGGCCCCAGGAGCCTGTGCTTCCCACTTCCCAGGTGATCTGGCTGCAGGTGCTCAAAGCAAACACATTTTAGGAACAGTATCATTGAGCAGCTTTGCAACCACATCTAACTGGGACCAGCCCCTCACCAACCAAAAAAAAAAAAATCACACACTCCAACCCCGACTTCACAGCAGCCCACACTCTGCCAGGCCAGGCCTCTGCCTGAGAAACCTGCAGACACACAGAAGTCCAAGGATCAGTAATCTCGAGCCCAGACACCTGGCTTTTGCTCCTGTCTTTCTGGATGTCTTTGTTTCCCCTTTACGCTGCGTACATTAGCTGTTCTGGAAAGAACAGGCAAAGAGAACACCTTGGGACAGTAAACGCGAGGGCTCATGGCCCCCCAGAACTGGCGCTGCCAAGCCAGAAGGAGAACTGTTCCTCTCTAGACACCAGGCTCACCACCTCCACAGTGTCCCCAGCAAAGAGGGGGGAACCCAGAAGCTTTTCTATGGCTTCAAATGCATGCAAACAAGGCCTTAAATAACACTAAACAACACGGTGAGAAAATCGCTCCATTTCACTTCTCTTCCAGTTCTGAGAAAGGGATGGGGCACCACTCTGTCCTCAATGCCTTGGGAGGGTGTCCCAGTCCCTCACAAAGAGGGAGTAGGCCTCGGGATTCCAGCTGACAAAAGGTGCTGTTTTACAGTGACTTCGTTTACAGCACGTCACGCCTGTTTTCTAATTATGGTAACCACGTACAGTTTCCAAAATTTATTTCCCATTTTCAAAAATAAGTGACGCAGCCCCGGCTGGTGTGGCTCAGTGGCTAGAGCATGGACACCCTGCACCAAAGGGTCATGGGTTCGATTTCCGGTCAAGGGCACGTACCTGGGTTGTAGGTTCAGTCCCACGTGCAGAAGGCAACCAACTAACGTGTCTCTCCCAGATCGATGTTTCTCTCTCCCCCTTTCTCCCACTCTAAAAATCAAAGGAAAAATATCCTTGGGCAAGGATTAACAACAACAACAGAAGTCAAGCAACAGAACGGTCCTGGGTAACCAACGATGTGAGCGATGCGGGGATGTGGCAAACTGGCTAGAGTCCAGGAAAGAGCCGTCACTGTACGTGTGCATTGTGCGGATGTGCCGCACGCACACCAGGCGTTCTTCTAAGCACAGATGATCGCATCCCGTTCTCACAAGCACTCAGGAGGTGAGTATATAACTGTCCCCATTTTACAGTTGTGGAAATAGAGGCACAGAGAGGTACAGCGGCTTGCCCAAGGCCACCCAGCTCTCCAGTACACAAACATCCCTACCCCAAGTAGCAAGTGGGCGCGTCACGGCACCCCCCCGTGTGACCCTGCAAGGTCCCCTGGACGCACCGGATCTGGCTGGTCTGCTCTTCAATGGCCTCCACCGCACTCTCCACAGAGCTCAGCAGCGACTGGATCTGACTGGCCGTTTCCTTCAGGAGGAAGCGGGTCACAAACTGGTCCACGTTGCTTCCTCCCTCATACACCTGTGGGGAGAAGAGAAGGGGCGCAAAGGGTTAAAGGGGGGGAGGGAACTTAGGTGTGGGATCTGGCAGAGTTGGGGGGACACCTGGGGTCCATGTCTTGGCTTTATAGTGGGAAGAGGGAACCCCGCTCCACTACTGCCTTCGGCTCCTGGATCAAGGCAGGGGCTGTGCACTGCGAGACCCAGGTCTGAGCCCTGGCTTCGCCACTGACTAGCTCTGTGGCCTCTACAGCCGTCCCAGCAGTCACCGTAGCAGCTATCTTACAAGGTCACAGTGAGGATTAAATGACAAAATGTTTATAAAATGCTCAGCACAGGGCCTGTCTCGTAGCAAATACTCAAACAGTAGCTGCTATGATCAAGATGGTGATGTGATGGTGGTGATGGTGGTGATGACGGTGATAGTGACAGTGGCAATGCTGCTGGTAATGGTGGTGGTGATGGTGGTGACAACAGTGGTAATGATGGTGATGATGATGGACTGGTAATGGTGACGGTGGTGGTGACGGTGACGGTGGTGGTGGTGACGGTGGTTAGTGGGGTAGTTCCTGATGTTGCTGACAGGGATGACGTGTAGGAAGGACGACCCCCCAGCCTCCTCTCCCCCTCCTCCCCCGAGGAGGACCCTCTGGGCTCCGGGGCCTTCATGCGGCTCTAAGACAAATGACAGGTGAGAAGCGAAAGCACCCACAGAGCTTACACTCGCCCCCAAAGAACGAGCCTGACTCAGTGCTCAGAGGGAAGGGCGAGGGAAACCCGGGGAAACTGAGGGGGGAGACAGAGGCCGCCAGGAGACAACTCTGGGGAAAAGATGAAGAGAATTTTCCGCCAGTTTTGCTCTGAGGTGTGAGGCGGACTCTCCCCTTTTGTTAAGAGCCTGCAGCAAAGACACTTCATAAGTTCCCGGAACCGGCTGTTTCTTTTGGCCGGAAAAGGCTTTAGAGCGGAAGGGAGGGCGCCCTGGCTCAGCCGGGTCACCCGGGGACGGTAACAACCAAAATGACGTCGTGTTGGGAGACGCTGGTCCCCAGAACCCTGCGCTGCTCCCCGCCTCCTCCGCCAGCCTGACCGTCCAGAGCCACCCGCCCCAGGGGACCCGGGATCCTGCCCGGTCTCCGCACGGCAAAGAGAAACAAGGGAAGCGCACGAAACCATCCATCACTAACTAACCATCCATCCATAACTAACAATAATCACACAAAGGAGAAACAGAGGCAGGGCGGGGAGCGGGGAAGAGGAGTGCCCGCCGGACTAGGCGCGCCGGGGAGAGGCCCCAACAGGACGAATCCGGGGCGGAAAGTATGGGAGCTCCTGGTAGCCCGGCGCACTGCAAAGATCGATTACCTTCCTGGCAGACAAGTGAACTCACACAAATCCAGTGATCATTGGGCTCTGGACAAACGAGTGGCCGAAAATGAACAGGACCCATGGTAAAAAGTGTAAACAAAGAGAAAGGCTGCTAGAAGCCGTCAGGCGGGAAAATCAGCTAAAGGAGGTGGGTTAGAAGCACCCCGATCAGTGACTGAGGGTGTGTCTGGTCGGGGGTCAATAAGTGTAACTGGTTAGTTGAATTCCAAAAAGACAAGCTATTTTCAAAGGAGTAAAAACGCAGCTCTTACATTTCCTCCACAATCTCCACCTCGGCTGAGACCAGCTCCACAGAATCCACAGGGAAAGGGCCAGATCTAGGAGTTTTGCATCACGTGGACAAGTTCCTTGTTTGCAGTGTAATAGGGAGATGCCCAGAAATCTGCAAATCTATGAACTTTTATCAGATGAGCACCTTCCCTGCAAAGAATGCCTAGGAATTTCTCCCCAGGCACCTAGGTCGAGTGAGAGAGAGAATTCTGGAATGGGAAAGTGGAAGCGGTGGTGATCGCCCAAACGAAGCAATGAGGTTACAGAAGTCAGGAAGTAAAAGCATTAATCACTAACCATTAAATTTTAATTATACTGGATTAAGTCAATGGAGTGTGAAAGTCTGGAAAAATAACAAAAGAAACTCTTTAATTCCACAAAAGAGAACAGGAAGTATTTTTATTAGCTAGGTTTAAAAACAGAATTATAGTCCTGGCCAGGTGGCTCAGTTGATTGGAGAGTCGTCCCATACACCAAAAGGTTGTGGGTCCCATCTCCAGTCAGGACACATGGCTAGGTTCCAGGTTCGATCCCCAAACAGGACACATACGGGAGGCAACTGATCTATGTTTTTCCCCCCCGCCCCCGCCACTCTCTAAAAATCAATAAAAACATATCTTCAGGTGGGGATTAAAAAAATGTTTTTTAAGAATTATAAACATTAACAACGTATGTTTTAGAAGTCACTAGTGAAATGAAAACTAGAATGTTCACCTTCAAAATCATCATCGATGCTATAAACAAGGCAGATCATCGGAAGGTAAAAGGTCAGAGACGAAGGAAGCATAAAAGCATGGAAAGCGTAAAAGATGAGGGCAGTCGTCAGACCAGACAGATCCTAACAACAAAGAAAAGCAGCCTGATTTCCCCTTGTAAAGCCCCAGCCCCAGATCTCACTAAATGAGACCCAGCTGGAGGCACCTGCAAACCAAAGACTTTAAGTCTGTGCGAAGATTCTGCCACCAAATTTGAGAGGAACCAGGTGAGCTGCAGGATCACATTCCAGGTAGAATGTAAGTGAGAAAGGATTCCACGCGAGGGGTAAGAAATAATGAGGAAAGCATTTCACATGCGAAAACAGCAACAAGCCTAAGGACACGGGAGGGGAGGCAATAATGCTAAAAACTGTGAGCACAGTAGAAAGCATTGTGCAATTTAAATACATGCATCGGGGCTGGTTATTAAAACGACTAATGAAACCCGGGGAAACTCTGTCAAATGTAAGTTTTTTAAATGTGGCAAAATAGGACAAACGTTAAAACAAGAACTGAGCTATAACAGATGTGTTACTCAACTTAATCTGCATGAAGTGCCCGTTTTGCGTCAATGTGTTGGATTTTTTTTTAAATCCTAAGAACCCACGACGCATAACTGATCATAAAACTGATCGTGTCCATGATAGTTTTGAAAACTATACTAAGATGGCCATCAAAAGTAAAAAATTTAAAACTAGGATTGACCTTAACTATTACAATAATCCCCTCCCCTGTTCGGTACCTTGACCTGAGCCTCAGAGATAAATTCTACTTTTTAACCAGAAAAATAATTCTGTTAGAGAAACTGACTCACACACAGAAAATATTCAAAGCCACTACAATCCATTCCCGAACTATCACCGGTTCTCAGGTCCCGACAGAGGCAGGCAGAGCGCTCGGCTGGAGCGGCTCCGCGGCCCGGCGGCCTCCCCAGGAAGCCAGGGCTGCTCGAGGGGGCGGCCTAATAATAGGATCCACCCCGTCAACAGCTTCAGGAGGCTCAGAGGAGCATTTTTAAAGACCACAAGGGCATTTGAAAAAGTTCACCACCACCTCCGAAGACAAAATTTAACAAAGGGAATGCAAAAATAATTTCTGAACAGGCTGAAGGGGATCCTAAAATAAGAGCCGGTGTTAATATTGTAATTAGTGGAGACATGCTAGAGAGAGGCACTTGAAAATCAGAAGCAAAACAAGGACGCCTGACTTAGCACCGTTACGACATTTTAGGACCTCGGGCAAATGCGAGAGGACACGACACGATGGAGGAAGAGGAGGGACACATCTTGATCGCCCAGCAGCAAAAGCAAGCGTATCGACTAAAATCACGGATGCAAGAGATGCATCTGGAATAATCAATGGGCTGCATTTCTACACACAAATCTGGTTAGAAAATATGCAAGACAAAGAAATGCCAGTCACCACGGCAACAACCTGATGTCACCACCATCATTAAAAACGCTCCAAAGGCTGCACCGAGCAAAAGTGCGTGATTTCTGAGAGTGAAATCTCCCACCCTGGCCACATTGCACACGTAGACGGTAAAACCCTCTCCCGAGTGGAGCCTGAGGTCCCATCCCTGAGTGATGCCCAAAGACCAAGAAGCCACTACGAATATTATCAACGGCAGCGACAACACTGCTGAGCGGTGGCCCCATTCAAAGGTGAGAAAACTGAGGCTCACAGAGGTTCCGATCACGAGGAGCCCCATGTGGGCATACGGTGCACCTCACGCAGACTGTCAGGAGCAGGCCTGGGGCCGACATCCTTGTCTGGGTGGCAGATTCTAGAGCCTGGGGTCTTCCCATGCTCCACTGTAACCCACCACCCACTCTGATACTTTTAAATATCAAAGTCTACAGGACGAACAACGAAAGGGAGTCGGTTTTAAGTGTTATTAAAAGAGACTTTAAAACACCAAGACTCAAAATGGCGTGACACTGGGAATATGGGTAGTGGAGGCTCAGGGTTGGGCTCAGCCATCTAGGGGTATGGGAAGAAAGGAATTGTCTAATATACTGCAGAGCAGTAACTGAGAAGCATTTGAAAAGATGTACAGAACTGGTCTTACCTTTGCCTGGGCATACAACAGGAGCCTAATCACAAAAACTAGTCACCTTTGCTCTGTGCTAGGCCCTATGCTAAGCAGCTTAGAATCCTTACTTCATTCAATCCTCATAAGGACCCTACCAAGTGAATGCTCCCATTCCACAGATGGTGAAACTGAGGCTCAGAAAAGGAAGTGACTGGCCCCGGGTCCTTCAGTCAGGTCTGGCTGACTTTATCAGCCTGGATCCCTGTCCTCACCCAGCAGATGGGGCTGGCCTTTTCTGAGCTCCCACAGGTCGCTGCAAGCTCTTGGGCGTGTAGGTGTCGCTCAAAGCATGACCCGCTCCCAGCTCCCCTCCCTGCCTGCCTTGGTCAGTGTGCTCTGGTCAGTGTGCCCAAGAGGCTGCTCCTACTCCTGACTGACTGACACTCTAGTCACCCTGGGCGGGCCTGAAGTCCCAAGCTGTGCTCAATACCTCCTGGCAGGTCTCTGACTCAGTTTCCCCTCTTGTTTCAGCCAGCAGGTATGGCTGTCTGGCTACGACTCTGTAGGGTTCACTCTTCTGAGCCTGTTTCCATAGCTATGCAATGGGGGAAGTGAGAGCAGCCCCCCATTGGGTTACTGTGAGGATTAACCTGAGCATTTAATCCTGGCCCTCGTAGGTCGTCTGGAAATTTACTGTGCCTCTTCCAGAAAGAACACACCGCCTGTCCCCTCTGCAAGCCACCAGCCCAGTGGGGGAACAGACTCAGACGCGGGAAACGAAGCTTGGGGGTGAGCTGCTTACACCCATCTGAGCTACAATGGAGAAGGCGCACCCCCAACCTGGCCCATCTCCCTGCCTTCTGATCCCCTCCAGGTCATAAAACACAAATGAGGAGAGCTCTGCAGGCAGAGCCACATCAGAGGCCTCTCCCCGGGACACACAGGGAGTCCCTGAACTGCTTCCTAATGGTTCCACTGCCCAGCTCACAGCTTCAGGCCTGGACTCGTGTTCTCATAGCAGACACCCTCCAATTCCTCGGATTCCTCGGTCAAGGTCACATGGGTGAACCCGCCCCTCCTCCGCCCCTCCCCCTATCATAACCCTGCGGGAGAAGGGCTCAGATCAGGCTTGCGAACTTGTCCGAGGACCCGAAGGACTGGGGCTGCCTGCTGCTCCCTTTCCAGGACTCCACCCCACGGCCACGCTCAATTCTGGGAAAGGGTCTCACCCTCCAAACCTGATACAAGACACTGGGTGGGCAGGCCATTCACCGAGCTGCTCTACTCACTTCACAGTTTTGCTTCGGACACAGCTCCCTCTAGGTGTCTGAAGCAAAGCCCACCCCAGAGCCAGCCCCACCCAACACTTGTCATCACAAATCCAGGCACCGCTGGATATGGATGCCCCAGAAAAAATCTGAAACAAAGCTTGGACCCCCGGGACCACCCACACCTACTGACCTTCTTGGTGTAGCCCATGGCCTTCAGGACAGAATGATTCAAGGTCTCCAGGGAGGCCAAGACGTCCTCATAGTCCCCCATGTGGTCCACAAAGTAGTCTGGGGGAGGAGGGAGCAAAGGTCAGCGGTCATAGGAGGATTCTGCCCCTCTCCCCAATCCTACCTGTGTCCCCCATTCCATCTCCCCACACCTCTTGGTCCCTGCATAGCCTAGCTGGGTACCTACCACACAGCTCCTTGGTGTCCACGTGGCTGCAGACAGAAAGAACAAGGGGGACTCAGAAGCTGGCCTGTCCCATCCCCCTGCCCTCCCTCCACAGCGTGCATGGCCCATGCAGCTGGTACTCTCTCTTCATTCCATGCTCTGGCACCATGAGCCCCACTTCACAGATGAGGGTGCAGCGGGGAAGTGGCACCGGCCCCTCCGAAGGACCGAGCAGGGATCATATGCACCTCTGTCTGTCTGACCCCCTCACCACACCACCCACCCCGTTTCCTCTCCCAAAGTCTGCTGACTGCATCATGAGCAGATGGGACCACAAATGTGGCTAAGGCAAGGCCCAGGAAAAGGGAGGGGAAAGGAATGGGGGACATGACTAAAACAAACTCTTGGGTGACACCGGGCCCCAGGCATTCCTGCCTGCTGGGGCCTGGGCCAGGGCCCTTGTTCTCACCCTAGCCCAGGGTCTGCACGCCCTTCCTACAGCCTGGATGGAGAAGGGTCCTGTCCTTCCTGGAAGGAGGCTGAGCACCAGCCGCGCAGGCGCAGGCGCAGACAGTAGAGCAGCCTTGGAACACAGGTGCGACAGAGGAGTGTGCCCAGTGGGCGCCCAGGGACCCAAGCATCTGCAGGTTCTGAAACCTTCACTTTCTGGGCTCCAGGTCCTTCACTGAGAGAGGACTGGCCTAGAATAGTGTGTGCTCCACCCAACCCAGGTTCAACCAGATGCTTCTGGGAAAAAGCTCCTGTAGCCAATTAAATCGGGTTCAGAGGCTTTGCAAGCTGTCCTGGGGGTTCCCTAACTTGCATGTCATAGGAAAGGTTCCGACAAGCCCTGCAGAAAGGAGGCCTGCTTAATTGTGCTTAAATTAGCATTTCACTGATCTTTCCGATCCGCGTGAACTGTTTTGGACAGAAAGCCTACTTAGCATCCCCAGGAGCGAATGTTTACAGCTCCCACTCTGGGGAATGCTGGAGAAAATTCTCCTAAAGGTCTTGAGAGTTCTGGCCTCGTCAACGGCGAGTCCTCCCTGCTCCCCAGTCACCACTCTCATGGTTAAATGCTCACACCTGCACCTCTCCCCCCCCACCCAGCTGGCCCAACACAAAAGCACCAAATGAAAGGGATACCCAACGGGCCTCAGCCCTTTCAAAGCTCCCCAGGGGCTACAGGAACGCCTCAGAAACCTCGCCTGGATCCAGACACAAAGCCGTTCTCTGGAGTCTGCACTAGGAAGCTGCTTGTTTCAAGTGGCTTCCCTGGACCATGACACCCACTCCACCTGCCCCCCCAACCCGGTACCTGGCCCCCGCCTCCAGGACACTCTCAGCCCCAACCTCTGCTCCAGGCCACCACTGTGCTGGGTCCCTCGCAGATGAGCCTGGGGGCAGCTCCTTGTTCCAACCATCTCTAGCCTGTCTCAGGAGACCCCAACTTATCAAATCTGCCCCACGCAGCCCCCCAGGAACCTCATCCCAAAGTGTGGGGTGAAGGGGGCTCATCCTGCTTGGGGAACCCCAAGGAAAGAGAAAAGGTGGAATTAAGGTTGGGGCAGGGTCGGGGTACACATGAATGGAATTTGCTCTTGATTCAAGGATGGGCTAGGGCAAGAGTTTTGGGTTAATTCTGAGCTGTGGGTTAGGGTTATGCTTGAGTTGACGAAAAGGTTTAATTAGATAGAGTTAGAAGTGGTGTTCAGATTAAGAAGTAGAGTTATGGGGAAAAAAAGCACAGGGAATGTAGTTAATAATATTGCAATAACTATGGATGGTGCCAGGTGGGTACTGGAAATATTGGGGCAAACACTCTGAACTATATATGATTGTCTAACCACTATGCTGTACACCTGAAACCATACAAAATAATATTGAAAGTAAACTAATTAAAAGAAAGAGAGTTAGGATTAGCATATGGTTAGTTTGGTTTCAGATGGGATCCGGTGAGGTCAGGATGACAGCGTTAGTTTTGGGGCCTGGAAAAGTACCAGGCGCTGGGTGAGAACTGGGCTGAGTCAGCAGAAGGGTGACGTGGGGGTGACGTGACCATCAATGTCCCTTCACTATCCAGTGTATATTCTACAAAATCTAGGGTCTCTCTCTGCTTAGCCATGTGTGCTCAGAAAAGACCACTTGCCAACGCAGTAGCAATCTGCCCACTCCCGGAATCGCCCCAGCCGGCGGGGCCTCTGACTTCTGGATTAATGAGTTGAGGGACTGCAGGGCCCCTGCCCCTCCAGGGGAGTGGACAGGGGAATGACCCCTGGGGGAGAAGGGAGGTGCCTCCTCCCGGACCCACAGGGTGCGCTGCTCCAGCGCCCGGGACTCAGCTCACTTGGTGTTGTCAGAGTCGATCGTGTGGAAGAGATCCTCCAGTTCTGTCTCGTTGAGGACACCATCTGCAAAGAAGAGCTGGAATTCCTCCAAGGACAACTTCCCATCGTCTGCAAAGAAGGGACGAAGGAAGAGAGCAGCTGGTGTCTGAGCGACGGGACATCCCCAAATCTAGACAATTCCCCAACTAACAGATAAACCCCATCCAGCAAATCTCTGCCCACCCAGCTAATTCCCAAATTAACCAGTAAACTCCAGTTCACAGAGAATTACTGACTCATTCAGCAAATTCCCAAACCAATAAACCAATACCAACACCTATTTAGAAATAATCCTCAAACCAACAAACACAAGAAGTAGCTAGTCTGCTGGGACTCGCTCTGCAGGTATTTATTTAACAAACAGAGAGCACCTGCTCCCTGCCAAGGAATATTTTCTCATCTGATCCACCTGACCACCTGGGGCAGGCGCTATTTACAGTAGAGCTACAGTGGGAAGAGGCAGGTCCAAAGCCAGGCAGTCTGATGACCACTCTCTCTCCCCCTTCCAAATACCCGGGTAATCTCCCCACACTTAAATTACCTTCAACGCCAGTCCCCACATCCCGATTTTGGGAGAAGAAGGAACCCTCTCCACTGTGCCCCATCCACTCGGCAAGCTTCAGGCCCAAACCTGCGAATGGTCTGACGTGTGACGGTTACCAACAGTTGGCACGGAGTTCTCACCATGCCACAGATAGGGCCTTAAAGATGCCAAACCAGGAGGGAGGAGGTACCTGACCTGGGCCCAGCGCTGGCCCGCCCTGCTTGGGGCTGGGGGCTGTGGCTCTGGAGTGGGGAGGGGGTGGGGCTCTGAAAGAGGAGCACCACAGCTGAGGCATGCCACCTGCCCCTCCCTCCTCCTTCCCTCCATCGCCTCTCTCTCCACTTGCAGTCGCCCTGGCACCAGCATCTGGCAGGGACGCCTTCTTGGGGGCAGAGGGGCCACTGAGGGGGAGGCTCACAGCAGAACCCCAGCGACTCCAGGAAACAGTCCTCAGGCTTCCACCCTCAGCTCCTCCCACCCGGGCCCCGCTGCTGAGCAAACTCCGCAAGCTGGTCTCCACCCCTCCGCAGCCTTCACCCCTCTCAGTCACCTCACAGCCCGTCCTGCTCGTCTTAAAGGAGCCCTGGCCACGGGCGGCAGTGGGAGTCAGGGCGAGTGGCAAGCCAACGACACTTCTCCCAGCCCCTCCATGCAGAACCCCCTTCCGTGACTTCCAGCCAGTCCACACGGCACCTCTGTGTGGATTAGAAAGAGATGCCCTTTCCTGGTTGGGGGTGGGGGACGTGGCCCAGCGTTAGGGCACGTGGGTTGCGAGCGAGTGGAGGGCAGGCTGGATCTGAGGCCCTCAATTCCTTCAGGAAATTGCCCCTGCGCAGGTCACAACCTGCCTACTTGAGCCCAGAGCAAAGTCATTCTTACATGTTAAAAACTCTGGAGCTTCTATCTCTGCCCCCGGCAGCTCTGCGTGGGCTCAAAGTAGGGCTAAAGGACAAGCTCAGGGGACGGAGACCCTCACACCCTGTCTTGACTGCCCTCCACCTGTCATCCAGTATCAGGGGCAAGGGGAGAGAGAGTACTGACATGTGAGCGCACAGGCTGCTTTGGGGGCTGGGTCCCAGGATGCCTCCACCATCGGGGTTCAGGTGTCAGCGTTCCAGAGGGAGAATGAGTTTGCAACTTTCCAAAAATAAGAGATCCTCCAAACACCCACACAGAAGACCCAGAAACCAACTACAAAACGTACTCAACACCAGATACCAGCTGTGAAACGCATCAACTCTAAGCTGCGGCTCTCTGTCGTCTGGGCAAGGGGAGATTTCCCAAGTTCTGTTTGGTAAGATTGGTGATAAAAACCAGCAACCAGAGCCCGGCCGGCATGGCTCAGTGGCTGAGCATCGACCTATGATCCAGGAGATCACGGTTCGATTCTCCGTCAGGGCACATGCCCGGGTTGCGGGCTCAATCCCTGGTGTGGGGCGTGCAGGAGGCAGCCGATCAATGACTCACCATTGATCTCTCTCTCTCTCTTTCTCCCATCCTCTCTCTGTAATCAATAAAGACACATTTAAAAACAAAACAAAAAAGCCCAGCAACCATGTGCAGAATCAGGACAGACATGTGGGGCTCTTACTGCGTACTCACTAATTCAGTCTTCAGCGGAAGTACCATCACCCCCATTTTACAGAGCCATAAACTGAGGCACAGAACAGTTAAGGGATATGCCCAAGTCCCACAGCTGGAGCTCAAACCCAGGCCATCTGGGTCCTGAGTCCTGGCTCTCACCAACGTGGGGCAGGGGCTTGTGGTGAGGCCTCCAGCGACAGGGCGACATGGAAACACTGAGGCTAAGTCTGGCGGCGGTGGAAGTGGCTCCGATTAATTAGTCATGTCTGTCACGAGCACGGCTGGGAGTCTCCCTGCCTGTCTGGTGCCTCCGTCCAGTCTGCACTCAGGAGCGCAGGCAGGGAGAGGCCCGCCAGGCCTCCGAGCACAAAGCCCTCCCAGCTGACATTTACCTTGACTATCCCACCGCAGCCCTAATGAACCCAGATCAGCTAATGAGGGACGCAATCTCTCCAACCCAGGCCCCGGCCCAATTAAACCAATGGGCCTGGCACCTCCACCCAGCGGGCCATCTGCAGGTGTCTTCACTAATTAGCATGAGCTCAGCCTCTTGCCACAGTGACCTTTCAAATGCCAGAAGTCTGCGTCCCTGCAGAGAAATGCGGTCTGGCACCTGCCGCCCTCCACCCTCTGGGTTTCATACCCCAGGCTGCCCCTCGGAGCTCTGCCCAGACTCCATCTCTGTGAAGAAGTCTCTGTCCTGGAGCCACCAGGATGCGCCAGACAGAGCTCCTGCTCCTGTAATCCTCAGGCCTATTCCCTTCCAACCCTCAGCCCAGGGCCCAGCTTGAGACCACACTCCATCTTCTGCCCCTGGCATCTTACTCCGGTGGATGCCCAGGGAGGGCCAGCATCCACCTGTGTTCAACAAGTGTGTGTACGTGCCTTTGTGTGTCTCTATCTGCATCTACACCCACACTCACCCTTATGAGCACACTACTCCCATCCCCGCCCACACATTTTCAATTTGTGCTGGGCTAAATCCAAACCTACTGGCCCCTCCCCAACTGAGGCTCTGCAGCCTGCCACTTGCCCTCTGGAACCCTTGCTACTGTCATCTGTATTAAGGGGGACGGTGCTTCCTATCCCACTAAGAGCAGAGTGAAGACCACATGAGGAGGCCCACGAGTCTTCATGCTTAGGTGCTATGGCCGTGGGCAGCCTGCACCGGCCTGTGGACACCTGCTGACAAACCAAGGCCATTTGCCAAGGTGCTGGATACTCCTCAGCTGGTTCAGGGCTCACTGATCCCCCACAGTGAGCCAGAGCTCCGCTCTCCATCCTCATGACAGCCCTCAGCTGGGGACTAGTTTCATCATCCGCACTTACAGATGGGGAAACTGAGGCATGAGAGTTTGGGGCTGGCCTGAAGTCACAAAGACATCCTCTGTGACAGAGGAGGGGCCACGCCTCCCTCCCATAGGCTCCACATCCCATACACATTAACCTTGGTGACAACCCCCCACGGCCACTTAGCAGTGGATAGAAAAACTCGAGGCCCCAGAGGAGGAGCGGGCTGGGCCTCTGTGGGGGCTGCAGGAGTGAAGCTGAGGGTCCCGCAGCTGTGCTCAGGGGGCGGAACCATGCATGGCCTCTGACTGGGAACAAGCAATGGAGACGAAAGCCCATCTGTGCCTGGAGACCAGGGTGCCACCCACTACGCATGCACACATGCACAACCCCACGTCCACTTGGACGCACACACTCCCACAGCACGCATGGAGACCGAGCCAGACACACTGCTGCACCCCAGGGCTACACAGCCGCACTCTCGCCCATGAATAAATTCATCACCTAAATCTACAGGCATTTACCCAGCATCTCCTGTGTGCTGGGCGCCAGGCCCACGACAGGGACAAGCCCCTTAAGCCCCTTCTCTAATCTCTTGTTCAGGCCGCGATGCCACCACCATTTCCCGAGCCCCACTGAACTGCCCCCCCCATCCCCTTCCTTTCTCCTTGCTCCATATGGAATTGCTCTGATGGTCTTCTGTCCCAAGAGGCCTGGGAGGGGCCATCGCTCCCAGGGATGGGGGGCAAGAGGTGGAGACCCCTGGACACTGACTTCCAGCCCTGGCCTGTGCACTACCTCCCATCCCCCAAGGCCTCAGTTCCACCCCCAACACTACAGGGGCGGGTCAACAGAAACTCCCAGGGATGGGGAGAAGGGGTGCTGAGACCCAGGCTAGAGCTGCTACCTTGAACTCCAGCCTACGAAGGAGGGGCTGGGATCTGATGCTTCGGGGCCTTGAGGGGCAGACACCATCTGGTCCCCACTTTTCCCCAGCACAGGCCTTGATCCTTAATCAGCATTTTTTCGATAAATGAGCAAATAAACACTGAGCACTGTTTAATTTTCTCTAAAAACATCTATCCCCACATCTCCATTTTCCCAACAGCCTAGGGAAGCAGACAGGTTAAGTGTTATCACCCCACTTTACAGATGGGGAAACTGAGCCCTGGGCCTGTAGAGTCGTGCTGGGCCCGAGAATAACGACTACAGTACAGTGGCGCCTCGGTTTTCTAATGTAACCCATTCCGGAGACCGTTTGAGGTCTGAAATGTTCAAAAACCAAGGGATCCACAGCCGACAGCTGGGCCTCAGGATCTTGCCCTCAGCGGAAGCCGTGTGGCATGTTCGACTCTGGAGGCCTGTTCGAAAACCGAAGCATTTCCTTCTGGGTGTACAGCGCTTGTAACCCGAAATGCTCGTCCACGGAGACGTTCGAAAACCGAGGGGCCACTGTGTTTATAGGAAGCTGTACCGCTGTTCCACCTGCGAGGCTCAGGTGCGCCTCGGCACACGTGGTTATCCACGTGCAGAGCGGAGCCTTTCCAAGCGGCTGTGGGATGTGGGGGAAGGGGTGGGCGTCTGAGGCAGAGCCTCAACTACCTTCACGCAGCTGGGCTACCCTGGGCAAATCACTTAACCTCTCTGGGCCACTACAGAGTTGACAGAACACAGGATGCAGCACCAACTGCGTGAGGCCACTGGGAGAAGCAAGTGTGCCAGGCCCTGTGAAGGGCCTAAAGTGCTGCTGGGGGCTTCCTTAAAGGGTGGCCCCCACCTGGGCTGCCCAGGTCCAGCCCACCAAGCATCTACCATGAGCAAGACATCTTGGCATCACAGACATCAACTCACAGAATCCTCCTGGCATCCCAGCTATGTAGGAACTAAGGGAGTCCCACTGCACAGAGGGGAAACTGAGGCACAGAGTAGAGCAAGGGCGTGGCCTTCAGACTTCAGAAACCTATACTCTTTAACCTTTAGGCTCAAGGTCGTCCAGTCCCTACCCCTCATTCAGGGGCCAGCATGGGAGGGGAACTCACCATTTTTGTCCGCGCGGCGGAAAATCTGCAGAGAAGAGAGGGTGGTTGTCAGCCCTGGAGAGGAGCAGGCGCCCTCCAGCGGCTCCTGACCCGGCAGAGATCCCACTCCTCCCCAGGTGGCCTGGGAAACTGAGCCCCCTCGTTCTCCCTCCCCAGGGAGGGAAGCCCTGGGGCTGGCGGGGGAGGGGGGCCTGCAGGCAGAGGCCCTCCCAGCCACCCTGGCGGAAGCAGCGCCCACTCTCCCTTCCGCGCCGCCAGCCTCCCACAGCCATGCTGACGGAGACATTCGCTCGCGAGTGGACGGACACTCTGGCTCACACTGGCCACATGCTTGGGGTGCACTCCCAGAGCCATCAGTCCACGGGGCTTCACCCACTGTCGCACTAGTCGCACACTCAGAATCTGTGTCCCATGGACGCAGCCACAGGCCTTACACCCTCAGACCCCTCCACGGAGGTTGGGTTAAGTCTGAACGGAGGCTATGGGAACCTCGAGGCTCGAGGCTGGACAACTGGACCAGCCATAGGCAGGACGGGACTTTGGGGTGCAGGGCTGACAGGAGCCCAGAAACCAGTTGCTGCATCAGGCAGGAATGGGGAGGGGACAGCCCATGCCCCCACCCCACAACCCCAGCCTGAGCTTGGAGGCCAGATAACTCCCCCTCCTGGTATTTTGGGGCGAGGGAAGCCATGCTGATGGGAGGGGGAGGAGGCACCAGCACCTCTGACCATCCCACCTCTGGTCCTTCCCTTGAAAAAAGGACAGATGCTCACCACCCCCACCCCCACCCCCGCCTCCAAGCAATGGGGCAGGCACCCATTATCAGGCACCTGGGGCTGTGACAAACTGAAGCAGCAGCTCAGGAGGGCTTCTCAGACATCACCCCCCTTCCTTAGCTGAACCCTGAGTCCAGGCTACTGGGCAGGAGCCACCGTGGCTGGGGCAGAAAGGGGAGCAGTTATCAATGCACCCCAGGCCCTCCTCAAAGCCTCAGCTTGGGCTCCCCAGGTTCCTTGAGGCTGGGGTCCCACCCTCAGGTGCCTGCTCTGGGCCTGAGTGTTAAGTGAACGACATGACCACATAATATGTCTCCAGGAGTCTACATGCGCACTACGCCCCCACCTCTGCGCATCACTCCATTTCACAGACAAGAAAATGGAGGCTCGGGGCCCTCACGCAGCGCTGAGGACCCTGGAGCCCGCCTCCTGCAGGGTTAGAGGAGACCATCAGGAGGGGCTGGGTGAAGCTTCCCTCCAAGGGCGGGCCAGTGACCTCAGCCTTAAACTGGGCTGAGGTCTTGAGAGAGACGGTCCAGTGTGTGTCGGGCTGTGCCACGTGTGAGTGCGTGTTTGGGGGCGCCAGGACTGCAAGCACTCCCCGCAAACTTCCCCTTCCCCTCCCTGCCCAGAGCCAGCTGTGGGCTCCAGGAAAGGAGAGAGGAAATCCAGGCTCTTGACACTCACAGGGATGTGTGGCTCCTGTGCCCGCGCGCGCACACACATATACACACACACACCCCTCCCAGAAGCCCACCACACACACTCAAAACACCCCCACCGCCCAGCCAGGGGCCCTCACCGGGACGGGCACAGCCCACCCCATGCTGTCTATCCCCGGGGCCTGGGGTGGCGGGAAGAAGCCCCTCCTGCACCTTCTCCTAGGGCTCCGCAGGGCAAGTCCCCCAGGGGCCACCCACCCCGCAGGCTCTCCCTCCCACCAGGGGAGGCGGAGGTGGGGGGCTTCCCAGAGGTGGGCAGTCTGAGTTCCAGAGAGGACGGGGTGGGGTGGGGAAGGGAATGGACAGCGGGGACTGGGAGCGGCACCGGGTGGTGATGGGGGAGCTCGGAGGGGTCCAGGCTCAGTGCCCCTGGGATGGTTCCACCCCTAGGGAAAGGAGAGGCAAGAGAGGTGGGTGGGGAGTGAGGGGGCTTTGCT